ATCATTGGAGCCCTGGCCGGTTTTCTCAGTGGTTAGAGCATTGGCCCGTGGACCAAAGGGTCCCGAGTTGGATTCCCCATCAAGGGCACGTACCTGAGTTGCAGTTTCATCCCTGGCTCTGGTCAGGGTGCACGAGGGAGGCAACCAGTTGATGTGTCTCTCTCACATCGATGTTTCTCTCTCTCCCTTCCACTCTCTCTAAGAAATCAATGGGAAAAAATGTCCTCGGGTGAGGATTAACAAAAAAAATAGAGAGATAATCAGAAAGGAGGCAAATCTGGCCGTGTTAGGTCAAGGTGGCCCAGCGGGTCGCCAGCGTGGGAAGAACGGGGTGAGCTCCTGAGAAGCAGAGGCCGGGGCAGCATGCCCGGCAGAGGCTGTCCGCCACGCGGACCCCTCCTCAGATGCTCAAGAAATCCTTCGGGTCAAAACAAGTGGACGCCGTCTGGCTGCCCATGTCCTCGCCTCTCCTCCTTCATCTTCTTCTCACCACTGCTCCCTCCTTCCTTACCGTCTTTCTGTGCTCCTCCTCCCTTCTCTTCATGCTTCTCCTCTCTCTTCCTAGCTCTGACACTTTCCCCCTCAAACTTTGTTTTATAGTTTTTGAATCTGAGAAGATAAAAATTACCCACATCTAAAATCTGTAGACTTTTAAGTCGTAATTATTCCTTAGTAGGTAAGCCCAGCGCATCTTTGCCCCATGGCTCTCTGAACTTGATTCTTGCATCTGACTGAATGGGGGGCTGAGGGAGACGCAGATCACAGCGCTCGCTCCCCGGGCCTCTGCCTTGCCAGCTGCGCCTGGGACGTGCCTTGCCCACTGCAGTTCGCGTGGCCTGGAGCCAAGCCTGTTGCCTAAGATCCAGCTTTTTCACATGCCCTAGCTGTTCAGAGCCCGGGGGGATGACACCGGAGAATGACTTACCCCTCGGAGGGATGGGAACTCCAGGACGCTGCACTTTGGACTCAGTCACTGAAGTAACACGTCAGCAGCCACACCTTAGGTTTGGGTGGCTCCTTGGAGCTGTCGCATCTCTCTGCCAGCACTGCTGTGTGCAGGTCATGGGCAGGAGGCATATCCGTATACCCTGTCAAGAGGGGTCCTGGGCTTCAGCGAGGGTCAGCGGTCATGCACAGTTAGGTTGAAACAGCCCTATTGAACCAAGACGCCCTGTTTTTATTGAAGAAACAAGTCAGCAGTGGACTCTGACACCCAGGGAACATGTGTGGAGTCGTTGCCCTCAGTCTTGTCCCCACCACGCTGTGCGCTCTTGGTGGGCCCTCTGTGTCCCCTCCACACGCACTGCAAGCTTGGGGAGCTCACGTGCTAAACCCTTGCCCACGGGCACATCGTGTTCGTGACCAAGGCCACGGGCCCTGCTGTCCCGGGCCTTCGACTACCTTTTCCGCTTCATCTTTGCCGTTCCTGAAGTGGCACCACTCACTCCCATCTTCCCGGGGTGCCCACCCACTCTTCCCTGTTGCTCGTCTCCCTGCCTCTGCTCACTCTGCCCCTTGGCCTGCAGGGCCAGCTGCTCACCGTTCCCAGCACAGGGACCATCTCCTGCAGGAAGCCGTCCTGCCGTCCCAGGAGGGGGGCGCTCAGCTCCTCCCTGGCGGTGCACAGGGCAGCCCTGTCCTGGGCAGGAGCCCGATAGTCTGACATATGTCTGTTTCCCTTCCTAGACTGAAGGTCCTTCAGGGAGGGCCTGTGTCTTAATCACATTTGTGTCTCTAGCATTTTGCATCACTTCTGCCACCCAATTCCAGCTCAACTGATGCTTCTTGAATGAATGAATACTCAGGTGCTTTATGGGATTTGAAAATGGAAAATGACAGGGGCTTCTCCTGAAGGACTGTAGGTAAACTTTTCCTATGAACAAGAAGCTTAGGATTGATAGTCACTTTAATACACAAGAGCATATCCCACTTGGTAGCACATGATGAAGGGAGAACTGATTTAAACACTATGACAGAGGAGCTCTTTGTTTTCTCATTAGCTTATGGGCTACTTACTTTTGATTCTCAGGGGTGGTGCTTCATAGAATTCTCTGGAAGTCCAGAAGAGGGCTTCTCAGATAACGTGTGTCCTGCCCTGTTCCTAATTAATGATGGGTGCTCACCTTACATCTAACCTGTCGCTTTAAGCCGAAGTGTTCTTCTAATCATTGAAATCATAGTCACTTCTTAGAGAAGATAACAAGCCAGGAGCAAGAGAGACCCATCAGCATGAGACAAAAATCTACAGACAGGGGACCTGACCCCCTGGGCCAAGCGCCTCATCCCCGTTGGGCCTTCTGAGCAGGTCAAGGCCTCACTCCTCCTGCTGGGAGTCAGAATCAGTGATGACACGCTGCCTCGGGAGGGCCTGCGTCACGCTTTGAGCAGACGTGGAGCCCCCTCCTCTTGCTCAGAGTGACTCCCTGCAGTTATTTCTGTCCTGGCCTTGTGCACTGGGAGGAGGTAAGCAAACAGGTGCCAGGTGTATGAGCGTCATGGCCATTACCTTAGAGGAAAGAAGGTTTACCCTTTCACCAGCTGAGAACATGAACATGGTGCTCTAGAGAGATTATCGGTGAAGCCAGCAGGGCCTGTGCTTGTCCCAGTCCACATGCAACCACCTTGCCATTGAGACTGGGAGTTTGTTTTTTCAAATTTAGATGGCTAGCTCATGTGAAAACTCATGTGAATCATCCTTTTTCATTAAGACTCCTGGCCAGTGTGTTGTTCAGTGGTTAGAGCACTGGCCCACACAACCAAGGGTCATGGGTTCGATTCCTAGTCAAGGGCACGTGCTTGGGTTGCAAGCTCGATCCCTGGCCCTGGTCAGGGCACGTGTAGGAGGCAACCAATTGATGTGTCTCTCTCAAATCGATGTTTTTATCTCTTTCTCTCTGTCTCTCCCCCCACCCCCCCGCTTCCCTCCTTTCCAATCTCTTGAAAACTATCCTCCGGTAAGGATTAACAACAACAAAAAGACTCCTGGACTCCAGTTTTTCCTCCATGAAATGAAACTAGAAAATCTTGGGAGTTGCTGGCAGCTTTTAAAATTCCATGATTTGTCGTTCTGTCTCCTTTCGTGTTTATTTCAGTATATCCCTGTTTCCTCCTCCCTTTCATTTTATTTCAGATTCTCAAGGCATTATTCTTATATTTGTGTGAACAAAATGGGCATAAACCTCTGGTTCCACAGATAAATGGCAGCCTTTATTGGAAAAATACATGTGTTGGAAGGACAGTGTTCAATCGTGATGAAATAAATGACAGCCACTTTCAAAACTGAGGAATTACAGGAGAGCATCCGGTCTTCTGCCAGCATAGCTGCTGCAGCCTGTGATGGCTTCTGTGCAAAGTATATTCAGTGTCTCTCTCTCTCACACACACACACACACACACACACACACACACGCCCACACCTTTCTTTCCCAGGCACATTACCGCTGCTTTCCTTCTCCTAAGCTCCAGGGTCCCTTCTGTTGCCTCTGTAACTTGTTTCTTAGGCCCACGCAGCCCAGCTGGCGCACTTCTTCCCGGACTCACTTGTACCTCTGTGACTTTCTAAATAAACTTTTGCTAGTAAAAACAAAAACAAAGCATATTTATATGTTGGGTCACAGAATAATAATTCAAATGCTTAAGAGCATCATCTTGTGATGTTATCACAGGAACATCCAGACAGTGTTTTCTTTAACTCCAGGAAGAGCAGTTCAGGAGGCTGGATCTTGCCACATGTGTCCAGCTGCACATTCAATACTCTTGGAAAAAACCGTGCCATAAATCTGGAAATAACCAAGTCCGGATACTTGAGTCATGTTCATTTCTTGGCTTACAGTTGTCAAGACCTTGTATATACAAGAGTTCAAAATTAATAAACACTGTCATATCTGCTGCTATTATAAACCAGGCAACAATATTTTATTTGCATCTTAGGGTATTATTATGAAATTTCACACTTAAGTGGTTTGAAATGACGGAAAATTGAACCAAGTTTAATTAGAATTCATGAAACATTGCTCAGAATTACACAGCCAGTCTACATATTTAACAATTTATTGTACTTTTTGCTTTTCACAAATTAAATATTGCCACTTGAGAACATATTCCTGCAGAATATCAGCTCTGTGTTTCCATGCCTTGGAGGTGTCTCTCCACACTGGGTATTTCTGGAAGCTTCTAACCTGTACGGAACGGCCCACGAGGAGGAGGCGAGGTGAAAACCTCCTGTCCCCTCCCCCCCCCCCCACCCCCTCACCCCCACCCCCGTCCCTCTCTGCTCACGCACACTCCATGCTCACCCTGGAAAAACGCAGTGACTGGCCTGAGATGCATTCTTGCTCCTTTTGGAAAACCGGGAGGCATTGCCTGGAGAGGCCTTTGCCTGCGGTCCCGGTGCTAATCCCGTTCCTGGAAGCCAGCCTTCCGTGCCCTGCGCTCAGGCGACCCGGCAGTGGGAGGAGGATCTCCGTCGGGCACTTTTTCTGTGCCGGGTCGGTGCTTCCCGTTGCAGTGTCCAGGTCATGGGTAATGAATGCTCTCTGATAGGCCTCTAACCGCAGGTTTACCCACTCCAGACCCTCCCTGTGCCGCTGCGGTTTCTTACTATTCACATGCACGAACCCGTGGAACTCATGGAAACTTCGTAGGAGTGAGCTCATTGTTGGTGTGCCTGCCTTTCTGTTCGGGGGCCAGGAGGCAGGGAGGACGCAGGTCCTGTCACACATCGGTACACATTTGAAGCACATGCCTGAGGGGTCGGCAAACTCTCGTAGCCAAAACTGAGGTGGCTTTTTCTGACACAGTCAACGATACAAAACTGCCTCCAACGAATTTTTTAAAAAGTATTGAAAATTATGATCATTTCAAGGCTGTTAGTTACTCACCAGAGGAGGGAGCCACCGGTTGGCCAGAGGTGACCCGAGGGCCGCCGCACCGCCAGGGGCTCAGCACACGGCATCCGCAGGGCGCTCACTGTAACACGCGTGTCCTCTTCTGTTTGGTAGGCCGCGGAGAGCCGGGGTCGGAATGGAGCGCTTTGACTGCCACCATTGCGAAGAGTCTCTCTTTGGCAAGAAGTACATCCTGCGGGAGGAGAGCCCCTACTGCGTGGCCTGCTTCGAGGCCCTCTACGCCAGCACGTGCGAGGAGTGCGGGAAGCCCATAGGCTGCGACTGCAAGGTACCCGGCCCCCAGCAGTGCCTGTAGCTCCTGCCCCCCCACCCCTGCTCCCCAGGAACCACGGGCCGTGTGCATGGTTGTGCTGAAGCCCCGATCTGCATCCCCTGGTGAAATCCCATCCTTTGGAGCCCCCACCATCACTCCGAGGTCGGATCCTTCAGGGTCTTTCCGAGCCTCTTCCCTCCCTCCGCTGGTTCGGTCTCTGCCCACTCCTGCTTGCGTAGCACGTGCACAGTGCTTTCCCCGGGCGTTTGTGCTGAACGTCCCACGTACACGTCTCAGGTTTCGGGATCCATGTCCTTATCTCACACCCAGCCCAGCTCCCGCCGCTGCAGCTTCCTTGAGGGCCACGCACTTACTCATGTTTGCTTGGCGCTGACTCACGGGGAGCAGGTGCTGCTCGGCCCGTATCTGCGGGTGAAAGTGCACGGGGGAGCCGGAGCGGGGAGCCAGCGGCGGGCACGGGAAAGCAGGAAGCACTGGCATAGGAGGGGCTCTTCCCTCTCTTGGCAGAAGGTTGGGATTTGCCCTTTTATTTTCCAGGGGAAAGGCACACGTGTGGGAATTCCCTGCTTTCCTGCTGTGAGGGTGCAGCAGGTTCAGCCGAGGCCCTGGCCCTGGGTGCCGCCCGCCCGGCTGGGTCACGTGTTGGGAATGCTGGCCTGCGCTGCTCAGCGTGTCTTCGGTCCACAGTGGCCCCTGAAGGACCCCCTGGGGCCGCCGTGTCTGAGAGTGCCCTCTTCCCCGCAGGCCCACTGCTGAAACATACACAGCGCTGTCCGCGATGATCCCCAAGAGCCATCGATTGGGCACAAAGTGGGGTCACTTTGGAATCTCTAAAGGGATTCCCAGATTTTAAGGCAACTTATGGCATGTCCCCATTTCCTGCTCTCATTCCTTTGTGCTCTTGTGGGATTGTGTCACCCTCCTCCGCTGTTATAAATGTCAGTACCTCATTGTTGACTGGCCGAGCCAGGCTGTGCACAGATGGGCTGTTCTAACCCATTCTGTGCACGGTTCCTGCATGCCGTGCTTTGCCACCTCAGTCCTAGGACAGGCAGTGAGCTGGGGGCTGCACCCTCCGTTCCTGCTGCCCGGCGTGTCGTGACAATTGTGGGATCGTTTCCATCTTGTGCGGAAAGAGGCCTTTGTCCTGAGCAGAGACGGGGTGTGCAGTGGCCGCTCCAGGCCATGCGGCGAGTGGCTTTGCTGTCAGAGCAGGAGTGGCAGCCAGGGCTCCGGACAGGAAGCTCAGAGGGGGTCCTGCGTAACCTGCAATAGGTTCAGCCTTCCGGCACCGTGAGCACCTCGCTGATTGCGAGTCTGGAAGTTGAATACCGTCTCCAGCTTTTCCTGAGGGTGTCCCTGCCTCACAGCCCTCAGTCCCTGTTCGTTCCCTGGGCCGAGCATGCCGAACTGCCCGCTCCAGCCTGGCTGGCTCGCCAGCTGTCTGCACTGGGGCTGACGACCTGAGCCCTCTGTGCTGTCTTCACATTTCTCAAATGGAGGTGACACCAGGGTGCCACTTCCTGGGGGGCTTGGGTATGTAGACATGAGCCCTGAGCACCGGGAATGGCAGCCGGTGTCACTGTCAGCTCCAAACTGCCGTTTCCTGCCAACAGCGTCCCTGCTCTTCCGTAACGTGTTCCCTCCACACACCTCTCTCTCTATCAGTTTTCATTATAAAAACATCAGTGGAGATGTCTGGTTTGAGGAACAACTAATTGGCAGAAACAAATTATTATTTCATAAAAGCTTTACCTGGAAAAGACGTAAGTAGCTGCGAGGTTAACTTATTATTCTAACAAAAAACAACTGTAGTTTAAAGGAAACATTTTGGATATTTAGAGGTACTCATCCTTGAACGGAGACTAATGTAAAAACAAAACAAGCCTGTGTAGCTCATTGGGTTGAGTGTCGACCTATGAACCAGGAGGTCACAGTTTGACTCCTGGTCAGGGCACATGCCCTGATTGTGGTCTCAATCCCCCGTGGGGGCATGTAGGAGTCAGCCAATCAATGATTCTCACTCATCATTGATGTTGCTATCTGTCTCCCTCTCCCTTCCTCTCTGAAATAAATATATATATTTATTTCACAAAATTCGTGCACGGGTAACGTCCCTAGGCCTGGCCAGCAATCAGAGCCAATCGGGGCCTTCCAGCTATCGGCCGGGGCCTTCCTTCATTCCACGCTGCCCCCTGGTGATCAGCGCACATCATAGTGAGCAATCGGTCTTCCAGTTGAACTCCCGCAGGGACAATTTGTGTATTAGGCTTTTATATATACAGGTTTATTAAAAATAAATAAATAAATGGAAATAAATTACTATTTCTCTAATATGATTTAGTGGAAAGACCCTCAAACCTCCTTATTCTTTAGCACATACTTTATGAGCAAACACAAGAATCCTCCGAATGGGGCCAAAATCAATATGACTGCTGCAAAGTCAAGAGTAAATCATGCTGAACTTTTCAACCCAGATTACTGTTCGTGGCGTTACGCCATGTGACTTTCCACATGTTGGAAGAAAAAGAGATGTTGACTTGAAGTTAGATTTTGCCATTTGGTGCTTTTGAATATTTGGAACAGTTTTCTTGACTCAGAAATAATGATATGGTTGACTTTGTGGAGGAAGCAATGGTAGCAAAGAATGTTTGTTACTTCATAGAGAGCAACTGAGTGGGCCGATCTGGGGCCATTCTCTTAGAATCGCACAGGCACTCGAGCCTCATGTGCGCCCTCTGAAGGATGGGGGTTTGTGGGAATTAGGCTAATCTTGTGGTACTGACTGCCTTTTACTTTTATTTATTTTAATTAAATCTTTTTTGTTGAAAGTATTACATATGTGCCCCTTTTTTCCTCATTGACCCTTCTAGCCCACCCCCATCGCCTGCCCCAGGCCTTCCCCACCCTATTGTCTGTGTCCATGGGTTATGCATATATGGATACAAGTTCTTTGATCTCTTCCCACCCACCTACCCTCTGAGGTTCCACAGTCTGTTCTATGCTTCCATGTCTCTGGATCTATTTTGTTCATCAGTTTATTTTGTTGATTATATTCCATACATGGATGAGTTCATGTGATACTTGCCTTTCTCTGACTGGCTTATTTCACTTAGCATAACACTTTCCAGGTCCCTCCATGCCCTCTCAAAGGGTAAGAGATCCTTCTTTTTTACTGCTGCATAGTATTCTATGGTGTAAATGTACCACAGTTTCTTTATCCACTTATCTACTGATGGGCACTTGGGCTGTTTCCAGATCTTAGCTATTGTAAATTGTGTTGCTGTGAACATAGGGGTGCATATATTCTTTCTAATTGGTGTTTTGGGTATTTTAGGATATACTCCTGGAAGTGGGATCACAGGGTCAAATGGGAGTTCCATTTTTAATTTTTTGAGGAAACTCCATACTGTTTTCCATAATGGCTGCACCAGTCTACATTCCCACCAGCAGTGCATGAGGATTCCCTTTTCTCCACATCTTGGCCAGCACTTGTCATTTGATGATTTGTTGATGGTAGCCATTCTGACAGGTGTGAGGTGATACCTCATGGTCGTTTTAATTTGCATTTCTATGATGATCAGTGACTTTGAGAATATTTTCATATGTCTCTTGGCCTTCTGTATGTCCCTTTGGCGAAGTGTCCTTTTAGGTCCTTTGACCATTTTTTAATTGGATTGTTTGTCTTCCTGTTGTTAAGTTGTATGAGTTCCTTAACCTTTATCAGACGTATCATTGCCAAATATGTTCTCCCATGCAGTGGGCTTTCTTGTTGTTTTGTTTGTGGTTTCTTTTGCTCTGCAGAAGCTTTTTATTTTATGTAGTCCCATTTGTTTAGTCTCCTATTTTCCTTTGCCCAAGGAGATGTATCTGTAAACCTGTTGCTACGAGAGATGTCTGATATTTTTCTGTCTATGGTTTCTTCTAGGATTTTTATGGTTTGATGACTTACATTTAAATCTTATCCATTTTGAGTTTATTCTTCTGTATGGTGTAAGTTAGTGGTCTAGTTTCACTTTTTTGCATGTATCTGTCCGATTTTTCCAGCACCATTTATTAAAGAGACTGTCTTGACTCCATTGTGTATTCTTGCCTCCTTTGTCAAATATTAATTGAGCGAATGGCTTGGGTCGATTTCTGATCTATATGCCTGTTCTTGTGCCAGTACCAGGCTGTTTTGATTACTGTGGCTTTGTATTATTGTGATTCCTCCAATTTGGTTCTTCTTTCTCAAGATTGCTGTGGCTATTGGAGGTCTTTTTTGATTCCATATACATTTTTGGAGAGTTTGTTCTAAATTTGTGAAATATGCTGTTGGTATTTTAATACGGATTGCATTGATTCTGTAGATTGCCTTGGACATTTTAATGATGTTGATTCTACCAATCCATGAACATGGTATATTCTTCCACTTATTTATATCTTCCTCTATCTCTTTTTTCAACGTCCTGTAGATTTCTGAGTACAGGTCTTATACATCCTTGATTAAGTTGATTCCTAAGTGTCTTAATTTTGTTGTTGCAATGGTAAATGGGATTATTTGTTTAGTTTCTCTTTCTGAGAAGTCATTATTGGAGTATAAAAATGCCATCGATTTCTGGGTGTTAATTTTGTATTCTGCTACATTGCCAAATTCATTTATTAAAACTAGTAGATTTTTGGTGGTGTCTTTAGGGTTTTCTATGTACAATATCATGTCATCTGCAAATAATGACAGTTTTACTTCCTCCTTTCCAATTTGGATGCCTTTTATTTCTTCTTTTTGTCTGATCACTGTGGGTAGGACTTCCAGTACTATCCTATATAATAAAAGCCCAGTGACCAAAATGGTGGAATGACCAGAACGACTACAATGACCAGAACAACCACGGCCCCTCACCCCAGCTGCCCCATCCCCCAGCAGGGACCCCCACCCCAATCAGGGGTGTGGCCAGCCTGCAAACTGCCCGAGGCCTCTTGCTCCAGCTAGCCCCGCCCCCCCCAGTGGGGACCCC